TTTACAGTTCACCAGATCACTTTACAGTTCATAAGAACTTGTGTGTTTTGTATTGGGGCCCTGTTGTACTCTAAAACATTTAGAGGAATAAGATCAGTGCTGATTATTTATTGGTGACATCATAAGCTGTGATTTTTAATGTGCGATCTGTAACACAGGTGGTGAAACATTACATCCAGCAGTCCATACTGGAAAAGGAGTTGCTGTACTTTGGATACGAAGCTTTTGGTATCACCTTTGTAGATCCTGTAAGAAAACAAAGAAACTGTTTTTTTTATTGTTTTTATCTACTTTTATAAATGCTGTTAACGAAATGCTCCCTGTAACTTATTATTTTGTGTAATTTGAACTGTTAGGACGCTTGGACTCCAGAGGATGTCATGCCGAACAAGTTAAGAAACAAACACAAGTAAGATTTTTAGCTCTTCTGCAAATTGATCTAAATACTGCGATGTCTTGTTCATACTTGACACTTTTGTAATGTTTAAATAATTGTTTTACTTTCGATTAACTTGTATGTAGGCGGGTGCATCTGTGCAATAACATGGACAAAGTGATGCAGCAAAAATTCTAAAATTCTTAGACCAAATGACTCCAAAAGCTGATAGAGGAAACGGTCTCCGTTCTAGAAACTGCTCTAGAACCTCTGAAGAGAATTTCACAATTGCTCTTAAAGTGGAGAACATTATGGACCACAGTGAGCTTCCAAGATTTAAAATCAACAGCAGAGTGCCGGTCTGTGTTCATGCTGGCTATTCAGCTTTGAAAATCCAAAATCACAAAAAAAATTTCCCTGATTTCCTAATAAATTTAAACAAATAGAAAAACTAAAGTCCATCAGATTTTTATAGCTTTTTGTTTCAATATAATGTTTTTATGTATTTACAGTGAAATTGCCAAACTGTTTATAATAATCAGGAGGAATAGAAGTTATGATTTTCATTTTGGAATTGAGAAACAGATTATGGGCTTTTTTATGGCTTCCAATTTGGGATCTTAAAACCAGAACAATGGAAATCAGGAAACAGATCTTTTCCTGATCTTGCATTTCTCATTATAAAACCATAAACAAATGGCCAGCAAAATACTTGGACCGGTGTCTTTGGTCAGAGGCTTCTTTAGATCCGGGATGAGACAGACCGCTACAGAAGATCATTCCTGCCTACAGCATCAACACCTGAAACAACTCATTAAAAAAATGCCCAAAAGTTACTGGATTAATTAATTTAATTTTGGGATTAACAAAGTATTACTGAATTGATAAAATTTTCTCTGAAGTTCTAATTAAGTAGGCGGTTTTCTCCTCTGACAATTTGGACTAGGGCTGCAACTAACGATTATTTTAAAAATCGATGAATCGGCCGATTATTTTTCGATTAATCGATGAATCGGACAAAAAATATTTTTTATATTAACCTCTTTATTCCAAAATAAACATTTTA